ATTTCGGGTCGGGTCATGAATTTGATTTGACCCGCGGGTCATACGGGTCACACGGGTCACACGGGTTGACATGGGCCAATATGCCGAATGACATGACCCTTGTTTTATGCCGTATCATGCGTCATATGCAATACGTAACCCTTGTCTTATTATTAATTATTTTCAAAAAAAAATTTTTTTAATCTTTTTTAAAAATATTGTTGTCATTCATTATTCCTTAATTATTGTCATTTTAACAAAATCATTAATATTTATCAATTAAAAAAAATATATTATCATTCTTTTAATTTCATTTAAGTATGAACAAAAGAAAAAAAAATAATAATAATTCTCGAAATAGGGAAATTGTTTCAATTGTGAATATTGAGCATGATGATAATAATGACAATTATGTAGATAATGATAATAATGCTGAAGACAATGACAACAATTATGAGGATAATGTTTATGGTGATAATAATAGGGATAATAATGACAACAATTATGAGGATAATGTTTATGGTGATAATAATAGGGATAATAATAATGACAATGAAACTATAAGTACTACTACATCCACTAATTCTAAAAGCTTTGTATGGGAGCATTTTAATAGAGTTACTGATAATAATGGAATAATTTGGGCTAAATGCAAATATTGTTTGTAAGTTAATTAATTTATTAATAAAAAGTGGCTTTTAAAAAAAATATACTGTATATAATGATTTAATAAATCTATAAAAAAGATCTGGTAAATATAAAATGAGTGGAACAGGTGGTTCAACAGGCAATTTAAAACGTCATCTCCAAAATCATCAAGACAAGATTAATAAAGAAGTAAAAAAACAAGCAGAAATGATGGAAAGGTTCTTAAACAACAATAAACCGGGAGGCATTCATCTTACCGACAATCATTTTACCGACAGTTCATTTTACCGACAACACGCGGTGCGCCATTTAACCTCCACATATCAAACAACAAATAAAATGCTAAAATGGCGCGCGTGTGTTGTCGGTAAAATGAACTGTCGGTAAAATGATTGTCGGTAAAGTAATACATACCCCAATAAACCAATTGTATGTATTTGGATAATATATTATTAATTAAATTATATGTATTTCTTTTTTCTTATCTTTCCTTTTCCTTTAATAGCCTTTTACAAATGAATTTTTTCGTGAGAAGTTGGTTCATTGGATTATCACTGATTATCAACCATTTACTGTGGTGGAATCTCCCGAATTTTGTGACATGATTAAATTTTGTAATCCAAGTGTATTCATCCCTTCAGCTGACACTATTCATAATGACATATTAAAATCATTCAAAAATCATCAATCAATCATAAAGCATGAATTACAAGTAAATATATATAATATGCTTATAAGTTCAACATATATTATATAAATATAATATGTAAAAACACACACAATATTAATAAAAATTCACAATTATACATATATTTTTACTAGAACATACCTGGAAAAATAAGCTTTGCTGTAGATATGTGGACATCATCAAATGCTTTGCCATTCTTAGCAATAACTTGTCATTATCTTGACAATGATTGGAATATCAAAAATCTTCTTCTTGATTTCATATACATTTGTGGTGCACATTCTGGTGAAAATATAGCCAATTATTTTATAAACAGCACTTGTGATATGAATATTTTAACCAAAGTATGTAAAATATACAACTATGATTTTTTAATATTTAATTAATAAAATACTTTACTATAATAGATTCTTGCTGTCACAGCAGATAATGCTGCAAACAATGAAACATTTCTTAAAACTGTTGAAAATTATTGTGAAGAAAATTTTATTGACTTCCATCACAAAGAAAATCAGGTACGTTGCTTGGCACATGTCATGAATCTCACAACTCAAAAGATATTAAAAAATATAAAAGCTGGTGAAGCACAAGAAGAAAATCAAATATTGGGAGATGATAATAATGCAGTTGAAATAATACCCAAGGTAGATTTAAAATTTTTTATTCTAATAAAATTATATAAATAAATAATAATCATTATTATTGTTATATATAGTTAAGGAAATTAATTGCAAAAATAAGATCCTCACCTCAACGAAGGGAAAAATTTTCTCGTCAATGTGGAACAAATAATAAAACATTTAATTTAATTCTGGATACAAAGACTTGTTGGAATTCGACATTCCAAATGTTAAAACGAGCTTTTGAATTCAAAGAAGTAATGATTAAAATTTATTTAGTTCAATTAAAATAAATATTTATTAAAATGATATTCATTTACATAGCCTTTGAATGAAATAACTTTACTTGATAAAGATTTATCTGAATATTATATTGAAGATAATGAATGGGAAATTGTTGATCAATTATGCAAAGTGTTTCAAGTATATCATTTAATTTATATATAATTTGTTTAGTTAATTATTATTTAATTGATTATGATATATAATTATAATTTACATACCAACTTGTCAGGTCTTTAACAGTGCAACTGAATACATGTCTGCTTCTAAATATATAACTCTTTCATCTTCTATTCCTATGTACAATTCTTTACTTGAGCATTTAGAAAACATTATGTATGTGGATTTTGATAATTATTCTAAAGAAATAATTGATGCTGTAAGGATGGGATATGAAAAACTAAAATCTTACTATGCTAAAAGTGATCAATCTAATATCTACCCAATAGCAACAAGTAAATTTTTTCTAAATATACACACATATATATATTTTAAAAATGTTTGTTTATTCATTTATTAAGTTTATTTTAGTATTGGATCCAAGGATCAAGTTGAAATATTATGAGAGTCAAGAATGGGAGCAGGAATATATTGATATGGCCAAAAAAACACTAGCTGATAAATACAATGAATGTTATTATAATGCTGCTGCTGCTACTGCTACT